GCGTAGTCGGTCCGACAGGCGTGTCGTGCCGAATCCCAGGACACACACTCCGGACCAAATGGCAAAACCAAGCGAGCGAGAACATCACATGGCGTCTCGGAGCCCGGCTCGAAAGGTCGCGCGCGGGATCAAGGGGCGATAAGCCTGTGACGAGCTTGACGGACCAACGAGGACAAGGAAGGAAGGCAGGGGAAGACAAGGAAGAGAGCGGTCTGCGTGGTGTGGCGCCGATATGCGTGCGATATGAAAGATGGAAGACGTGAACGAGCGGGCGTGTAAGGAGCGGAAATCGATTAGGCATCGTTTTTGGTGTGTAGTGAGGTGAGGAAGAGGCGGGGTGCGAAGGTGCGGAGGTGGGGGATCGGCGTCGATCTGCGCTCGTCGTCGTCGCGGAAAGCCACGGCTACGACGTCGCCGTAGATTCAGGATGCGAAGCTACGACGTAAAGCGCCTCACCGCCTGCGGGCGGCGCCACGCCTGCTCCCACTCGAGCAGCGCGCGGGCAAAGCCGGGGTTGGGCTTGATGCAGGCGCGCTTGCGGCGGACGAATGCGAGGGCGGCGTCGTAGGACATTGCGTGGTTGCGGATGAGGTAGGCGATGACGATCGAGGGGGACCGGGAGACGCCCTGCGGTGTGTTAGCATCCATCGCATGCGAGTAGGAGAGCGCACGCACCTGCTGGCAATGCACCAACACGCCCTCGCCGCGCCGCAGCGCCCGCTCGATGTACACACACGCCGCCTCCAAGTGCGGCCGCAGGTCCACGCTCTCCTTATCCCGGATATCGATGCTGTACGCGACGAACCCGTCCTCCTTGCGTGCAGGCGGCGCCCACGGCGCCTCGAGCGCCTGCACCAGATGCGTGATCCCGTGCGCGCGCAGCAGCGGGTGGTCGTTCACCGCGCTCAGCGAGCCGAGGTACAGCGCGCCGCTCATGCCGTTCGCCCCACCGTTCGACGAGGCGCTGGCGTACGGTGCGTACGGCGAGGCGGAGGAGGGATGTGGGTGCGCGGGCGCGGAGGGGGGCAGCGGGGCCGGGGGAAGAATCTGGTGCATCGGCGTGCACATGGCCTGCATGACCTCGGGCGGGAGGGTGTCGAAGCGGATCATCGTGCGGCGGCGCGGGCTCGGGTGACGGGGCTGCGGTCAGGCGAGGCTGGCGGCGACGGACGAGACACGCGGGTGCTTAAGGACAAGGGCTGGCGATGACAAAGCATGACGCGCGAGTCGGCGTCTGTCCCGTCGCTGTCAATCATTTTGCGCGGCCGCCGCTAGCTCCGCATCTGGAAAATGCCCAGTAGCTACATAGCTCGTGATAGGCTCAGGTAGAGCCATAGAGCCATAGGCACCCCCCCCTTCTATCACGAGCGGTATAGAAATAATCTTCTATGGTAGAGCCGTAGAGCGGTAGAGCCATAGGCGCGATAGACGCTGGTAGAGCCCCATAGAACCGGCGTTAAATCACATGCACCCATGATGCCGCCTGAATACCGCCGAATCCGCCAGTTTTCCTCGCTCATTAATTGCTGCTAATTCACGCCAATGCAAGGAAATTGATCAAGAACATTATATTCAGGGTTTACAGTATAGAGGAGACATAGGTGAAAAGTGTCAGACACTTGGCAAAAACAACGAACGGAGACGGCGGCGGCAGTGACGGAAGATCTTGATGCCGATGTCGTACGTGCGCGCCCTAGACCGCTCTAGACCTTCCCCCGCTCCCAAGCCATGCTCTCACCACAACTCTAACCTTCCCCCGTCGTTCTTGCGCGCGTCCGGGGCCGCTCTATCCCAGCTGCCTTGACGTTTTTGCCTCGACTAGCGCCCCCCCGCGTGTGCGCTTCAGGAACGACGCGCTTCGATCCGGAACGTCGCTTTGCCGCGCTCCAATCCGGAAATTCTCACTCCACCCATCCAGAACTATTCTCATCGGCACCGCAACAAACAAAACGTACTGGAATCCTTGTCACGGACCAAAAAAGTCTATGTCAAGGTGAACCGCCTGGCCCCGAATCGAACGGGCGTCCTGCACAGCGCACCCGACACAAGTTGTTCAAGTTGACTGTAAGTATGCGGAGCACAACCAAGCCTTTCATGTCGGTCTGCCGGATCTTTGTGTGTTCTGGAGTCTGGACTGCACTGGGCGCATGGGGACTTGGACTCAACGATGCTGTGCCCCTGGGAGGGAGCTTGAAGAAAATAAGTGTCAAGCACCAAAAAACCTTGTCAACTCAGGAAACCATGGCTCGACTCCGAGTCGAACGGGGGTGTCTGCTCAACACATTGGAACGTGGCGCGTTATCCTGGAACTGTGCACAGACGCGCTACCGAGCCATTATCAATCCCCTCGTACGCAAGTCATCCTCTGTCTTAACCACGAACGTCAACTCAAAAGCCTGAGTTTCACCCGCTCTGAAGGACGTTACGAATGGGCGGTCTGTCTGCCTGGAGAGACCACTCTGAAGCTAAGTACTAACCACCGCTCTCGAACGACATTTCCCCCGATCTCCCCGAAGCCGTCTCTGACAAACCAATGCGGCTGCCGGGGTGGAACGAAAGAAAAACACCGTCCAGCAAATTCATGGCTCGGCCCCGAGTCGAACGGGGTGTCGCTCAACACATCGGAACGTCGTTATCCTGGAACTGTGCACAGACGCGCTACCGAGCCATTATCAATCCCCTCGTGCGCAAATCATCCTCTGTACATGTGTTAACTACGAACATCAACTCGAAAGCCTGAGTTTCACCCGCTCTGCAGGACGTTACGAATGGGCGGTCTCTCTGAAGCTAAGTACTAACCACCGCTCTTGAACGGCATTTCCCCCCATCTCCCCCGAAGCCGTCTCTGACAAACCAACGCGGCTGGCGAGGTAAAACGAAAGAAAAACACAGTCCAGCAAATTCATGGCTCGGCCCCGAGTCGAACGGGGTGTCGCTCAACACATCGGAACGTCGTTATCCTGGAACTGTGCACAGACGCGCTACCGAGCCATTATCAATCACCTCGTACGCAAGTCATCCTCTGTCTTAACCACGAACATCAACTCAAAAGCCTGAGTTTCACCCGCTCTGAAGGACGTTACGAATGGGCGGTCTCTCTGGAGAGAGCTATTAACCACCGCTCTTGAACGGCATTTCCTCCGATCTCCCCCGAAGCCGTCTCTGACAAACCAATGCGGCTGCCGAGGTAAAACGAAAGAAAAACACAATCCAGTCAATCCATGGCTCGACTCCGAGTCGAACGGGGGTGTCTGCTCAACACATTGGAACGTGGCGCGTTATCCTGGAACTGTGCACAGACGCGCTACCGAGCCATTATCAATCCCCTCGTACGCAAGTCATCCTCTGTCTTAACTACGAACGTCAACTCGAAAGCCTGAGTTTCACCCACTCTGAAGGAGTCTCTGACAAACCAACGCGGCTGCCGGGGTGGAACGAAAGAAAAACACAGTCCAGCAAATTCATGGCTCGGCCCCAGTCGAACGGGGGTGTCTGCTGGACATTGTGGCAGATATCGCGCATAGACCGAGCCATGCCTATCCAACTCAGAGGCAGCTTATCTTCGGTTCGTCTCGATCACCGGACCTCAGGTCCAAGTCCAACGGCGGGGACCTCGATCCCAGTGCAAACGCAAAACGAGAAAAAGCTCACTGCGATCGTGGCTCACTCAGATCTCAGACCCGAGTCGAACGGGTGTCTGCTCAACACATCGGAACGTCGTTATCCTGGAACTGTGCACAGACGCGCTACCGAGCCATTATCAATCCCCTCGTGCGCAAATCATCCTCTGTACATGTGTTAACTACGAACATCAACTCGAAAGCCTGAGTTTCACCCGCTCTGCAGGACGTTACGAATGGGCGGTCTCTCTGAAGCTAAGTACTAACCACCGCTCTTGAACGGCATTTCCCCCCATCTCCCCCGAAGCCGTCTCTGACAAACCAACGCGGCTGGCGAGGTAAAACGAAAGAAAAACACAGTCCAGCAAATTCATGGCTCGGCCCCGAGTCGAACGGGGTGTCGCTCAACACATCGGAACGTCGTTATCCTGGAACTGTGCACAGACGCGCTACCGAGCCATTATCAATCACCTCGTACGCAAGTCATCCTCTGTCTTAACCACGAACATCAACTCAAAAGCCTGAGTTTCACCCGCTCTGAAGGACGTTACGAATGGGCGGTCTGTCTGGAGAGAGCTACTAACCACCGCTCTTGAACGGCATTTCCCCCGATCTCCCCCGAAGCCGTCTCTGACAAACCAATGCGGCTCCGAGGTAAAACGAAAGAAAAAAACACAGTCCAGTCAATTTCTAGCTCGGCCCCGGGGTGTCTGCTGGACATTGTGGCAGAGTTCCGTTATATTCTGCGCAGACGGGCTCCACGCGCTCCCGAGCCATGCCTATATTATATCCAACTCAGAGGCAGCTTATCTTCGGTTCGTCTCGCTCGATCGCTGGACCTCAAGTCCAAGTCCAATCGCGGGGACCTCGATCCCGGTGCAAACGCAAAACAAGAAAAAGCTCACTGCGATCGGGGCTCAGATCTCAGACCGGAGTCGAACGGGGGTGTCTGCTCGGTATCTCGTCCCCGCTCAATCATGCACAGACGCGCGCCACGCGCTACCGAGCCATTGCCAACGAGCTCGTAGGCCCGTCTCCACTGGCAAGTCTCCGAACAGCAAACGCCGCGAATGCCCGCATGATATCCCGCCAGTCGCGAACACTGCTCGGCCGCGAGTCAAACAGGCAACTGCACTCCGTTGAACAGGACTTCGCGCTGTACGCTCCGAGCGCAACCGAGCCTTTCCTAGGCGGCTTGTTCACTATCCTCGTGCGATCTTACTCGCGACTTGGCCGCAAGAACAATGAAGAACAAGTCCGGTCCAATTCGACTCTCGCATGCACCTGTATTCTGACCTGTTTTATCTCGCCCTGGCGTCTCTTTGAAAACAATGCGCTCAGCGAAACAGAACAAAAAGCTACTGTTCAGCCAATCGTACATGGCTCAGCCCCGAGTCGAACGGGGGTGTCTGCTCGGCATATCATTAGTGTCCGCTCCGTCATGCACAGACGCGCGCCACGCGCTACCGAGCCATTGCCAATTAAGTTGTAGGCAGGTTATCGTTTGTCCTTTCAAGCAAACGTGAACTGACGATAGTGGAACACCCCAACGCGAAATGCGTACGCTCAGCTGAATACTAACGGCCGCTCTGGAATGTAATCACCTCTCGATGTTGGGCTCTTCAGTGACTGCGAAGCACGCGCAGGCAACAAAAGATTATCCTTCCAGTCGCGAACAATGCTCGGCCGCGAGGCGAACGGGCAACTCTACCGCACTGTACACTGGTCCTTGCGCTACAACGTGCGTAGGGCGCTCCGAGCGCAACCGAGCATTTCCTTTCGGTCGATCTCGGCCGCAACTTGCTCGCCGGAACACTGGTACCAGGACGAATAACTCAAGCTCGAAATTCTCCTCCTGTGCCTCTTGGACCCCTGCCAACGCGTACCGAGTGCAATCGGAATTTCTGTTCAGTAGTTTCTCGTGCTGGCAATCTCTCTGGAAAACCAGGAAAGCCGCCGAAAAAAAAAAAAGATATCCTGGCGAATGGCTCGGCCCCGAGTCGAACGGGGTGTCTGCTCAACACATTGGAACTTGGCATTGTGCACAGACGCGCGCCCCGCGCTACCGAGCCATTATCAATCCCCTCGTACGCAAGTCATCCTCTGTACATGTGTTAACCACGAATGTCAACTCGAAAATTTCGCCCGCTCTGAAGGAGTCTCTGACAAACCAATGCGGCTGCCGAGGTAAAACGAAAGAAAAACACAGTCAAGTCAATCCATGGCTCGGCCCCGAGTCGAACGGGGTGTCGCTCAACACATCGGAACGTCGTTATCCTGGAACTGTGCACAGACGCGCGCCCCGCGCTGCCGAGCCATTATCAATCACCTCGTACGCAAGTCATCCTCTCTGTCAACTACGAACGTCAACTCGAAAGCCTGGGTTTCACCCGCTCTGAAGGACGTTACGAATGGGCGGTCTGTCTGTCTGGAGAGACCACTCTGAAGCTAAGTACTAACCCCCGCTCTCGAACGGCATTTCCCCCGATCTCCCCGAAGCCGTCTCTGACAAACCAATGCGGTTGCCGGGGTGGAACGAAAGAAAAACACAGTCCAGCCAAAAACACAGTCCAGCAAATTCATGGCTCGACCCCGAGTCGAACGGGGGTGTCTGCTGGACATGTAGCAGGATTCCGTCATATTCTGCGCAGACGGGCTCCACGCGCTCCCGAGCCATGCCTATCCGACTCAGAGGCAGCTTATCTTCGTTTCGTCTCGCTCGATCACTGGACCTCAAGTCCAACCGCGGGGACCTCGATCCCAGTGCAAACGCAAAACAAGAAAAAGCTCATCCCTTTCACTGCGATCGGGGCTCAGATCTCAGACCCGAGTCGAACGGGTGTGTCTGCTCAACACATGCATGTTACCCGCGAATTGCGCACATACGCGCCGAGCCATTGCCAACGAGCTCGTAGGCCTGTCTCCAAGTTTTTGAACAGCAAACGCCGCGAATGCCCCCATGATGGCACACCACCGTGGAATTCGTGTGCTCAGCGAAATACGGACGGCCGCTCTGGAATGTAATCACCTCTCGATCTCGGATTCTTCAGTGACGGCGAAGCACACACAGGCAACAAAAACTTATTCTGCCAGTTGTGAACATTGTTCGGCCCCGTGTCGAACGGGCAACTCACTGAACAGCTGTCCATTCACATATGGCGTAGAGGCGCTCCGAGCGCAACCGAGCCTTCCCTAGGTGGCTTGTACACCTCATATCCTCGTGCGATCTTACTCGCGACTTGGCCGCAAGAACAACGAAGAACAAGTCCGCTCCAATTCGACTCTCGCATGCACCTGTATTATCTCCGAGCCCTGGCGTCTCTTTGAAATCAATGCCTTCAGCGAAACAGAACAAAAAGCTACTGTTCAGCCAATCGTACAAGGCTCAGCCCCGAGTCGAACGGGGGTGTCTGCTCGGCATATTAGTGTGACCGCTCCGTCATGCACATGCACACAGACGCGCGCCACGCCCAGGCACAGAAAAGATCCCAATTCTATCCTCCATGGCTTAGCCCCAACTCAGCCCCGAATCGAACGGGTGTCTCCACTGAACACCGGTCCTTGCGCTCCAACGTGCGTAGGGCGCTCCGAGCGCAACCGAGCCTTTCCTTTCGGTCGATCTCGGCTGCAACTTGCTCGCCGGAACACTGGTGACTGTAGGGAAGAGTCAAGACGAGGACGCATAACTCAAGCTCGAAATTCTCCTCCTGTGCCTCTTGGACCCCTGCCAACGCGTACCGAGTGCAATCGGATTTTCTGTTCAGTAGTTTCTCGTGCTGGCAATCTCTCTGGAAATCAGGAAAGCCGCCGAAAAAAAAAAAGATATCCTGGCGAATGGCTCAGCCCCGAGTCGAACGGGTTGTCTGCTCAATGGGTCTGCATTTGCCCAATCATGCACAGAGGCGCTCCGAGCGCTACCGAGCCATTTCCACGTGCGCAATTTATCTTCTATGCTCTCGGGACAGCAAACCTCGCAAATGCAACAATTTACGCAAATTTTTAACATTCATCCGCTCTGAAGCTGCTTACAAGTTACCACTGCTCCATTCCAAACGGGATTATCTCCAAGCTTCCCCGCATCCTGGATCTACAAAGGACAGGGGCGAAAAAACGTCAACTCACAACTTCATGGCTCAGCCCCGACTCGAACGGGTGGACTCTACGGGGATTATTATCGCCTGGAAAGACTTGACCTGTCCTGTGCAGGATGCGCTCCGCACGCTACAGAGCAATTGTCACTGAATCCGTACTCAACTTCTCTGTTCTTCAAGTTCCCGAAACAGCAAACGTCAAACGTCCTCGTTCTGGGCTCAACTCAACTGCGCTGCTCCCGGCCCGACCGTCGTCCGCTCAGAATATGACCGCCAGGAAGCATAAAAACGTCTCACACTATGTACGGCTCGGCCCCGAGTCGAACGGGCAACTCCCCTCCGCTGAACAGGGGTGCTTGCTGTATCATTGTGCGCAGGGGCGCTCCGAGCGCAACCGAGCCTTGCCTAGGTGATAAATTCGCGATTTATCTTCGTTCGGTCTCGATCGCAAGCACCGTGAAATACAAGTCCAGTTCAAGTTCAACTCAACCCTCGGGCGACCACTCCCCAATCTGAGCTGTGTTCTCTCGCTCTGGCGTCTCGGGAACATGATGGGGCTACCGAAACAAGCGAGAGCGAGTACCCAGTCGGCCGCGCATGGCTCAGCCCCGAGTCAAACGGGATTGTCTGCTCAACACATTAATATTGACATTGGCATACACTGCTAACAAATCATGCGGCGCGCCACGCACTACCGAGCCATTGCCAGTGAGCTCGCAGTCAAATTATCTTCCATGCTGTTTTCTTAGACAAGAAAAAACCGCAACATTGTCCAAAGTGGAACACCACTCCAACACCGAATTCGTGCGCCCGGCTAAATACTAACCATCGCTCTTGATTGGCATTGCTTAGTTCCCCCGACAGAAAAAGCAAAAAGGCGCTCACTAGATCCTTCACGCATGCCGAATGGCTCAGCCCCGAATCGAACGCGTGGAATCAGCGGAAGATTTCCGCGTGCGTGAACTACATCCTGCACAGATACACTCCACGAGCCATCGTGTTCAACTCGTAGGTAGCTTATCCTCATTTCTTTCGGAGTATCGCTGAACCGAACATCCAGGGGCGACATCGGAGAACAAGTAATTTATGTACCTGCTGCTGACTCCCGGAAAACAAACGGTTTCACGTTGGCCGGCGCGCGCACTTCTGCTGCTCCTTCACGTCGGAGCTTGCTCAAAGACACTGCGATCAAATGGACGAATCTCCTCTGTCTGGGGACCTCTGCGCTTTTTCTCTCTCACACGTGCCAATGGTCTCGCTTCTGCGCGGATCACGAAAAATCATGCATTGCTTGAACCCGAGCCAAACCGGAGATCCTATGGCTATGCGGTACCAAGCCTTGAAGCTTGATTGGTCGCAACTTATCCTCGCTTGGTTCCGATCCCGATCGTAGCATAGATTGAGAGAGGAATAATGCAACCGATGATTGACTTCGGTGTCGACTTCGCCCGAACCAGGTTCGAAGAAGTTCCCACGGTTCGATTCCGATTTTCAACCGCCATCACGCGAACCGTGATGCCATCAAACGTTGCGCTTTGGTGTACTTTAATTTGCCGGAACTTTATAATTATATTTTACTTGCCTGCTTGTACTGCTTCCCCTAGACAAAGAGGCCAGGACTAGTCAGGAAGGATATGGATGGTTCCCGGGTCAACCTTGGAGCTCTGCGGAACACGTGTCTCAATGGGTCAACACCCCATCAATGCACACACGATTCTCGCTGTGAATGTGGAGATTTGAACATCCTACTTGCTGAGTCTCTCGTAGACAGAGGCTGTCAGTGTAATGACCCCTGCCATCCCGTCGTACCTCTACCAGCCCCTAATTATTCGTCTTCCGTCTCCTCCGCTTCCGTCTCCTCGCCCTCGCTATCTTCCGCTTCCTCTGAGCTCGCCTGCCAACTCGCATCCGAATCATCCGTCTCGGAGTCGTTGCTCCTCACCGAGTTCGGGGGCCCGGGTCGTTGGAGTCGCGGTTGTCTCGGTATTATAGAAGGCGGATCTGGGTGACGACCAGCTCGGAAGGAGGAAGTGGAGAGTGACATGATCGGCCGGGAAGAGTCGCCGGGGGTGGATGCGCCGCAGAAATGACCGTCATCGGAATCGCCCTCTGGGCTGGGTGTGGAGGATGGGGTTGGATACGCCGCTGCGGCATTTGATACTCGACTGGGAGCAGGAAGTGGCCGGGTCGGCGTTGCAGGACGACGACCAGGGCGAGAAGGCGTGGTGTCAGGGGCGGGGCTCAGGAAATCAAGTGGGAGAGGGTCCATGGGAGGAAAGTTGCTTGGGATCACCGTGTAGCAAATCGCACAGTATGTCTTCGAATTGTGCTTCATTGGGTGGCGACAGTCCTGATGATGCTTGGGCGTACCACCATCAGCAG